TTTTTTTTTTTTTTTTTTTTTTTTCTTTTCTTTCTTTTTTCTTTTTCTTTTTCTTTTTCTTTTCGCCCTTGGAGAACTCTTTTGGTCGACCCTCAGGCCCTGCTCATTTCCACCTTCCAGCAAAGTCAGAGCACTGTGTCTGTGCTTGGCTCTGTTTACGGCTGGTTACGGAAGCTTAATACGAAAAAGGAGGCATGGCACATCAAAAGATTTGGAGAGAGAGGTGATTCGAGCCTGGGTAAAGAATCAAACAACGGAGGCAGACAGCGAGTATGTATGAGAGAATCTTGTCGCAACCGCTTTTCGAGAACCCCTGTCTACCGTCTTCACCCGAATAGAACACCTGGTAATTATCGCTGTATCTGGACTGGAAGTTGCCCCAAATACAGCTATAATGACCGGCCGCTCTATTCGGGTGAAGATGGTAGTGGACAGACTCACTCACAAGGCTTGCTTGGTACAACGGGCTTTGGAAGGTCATGGGATGGATGGCCAGAGGGGTGTTAGCAACTTTGGCTCATCCATGGATGGCCAGAGGGGGGTAGCAAATTTGGCTTATCTGTGGGACGACCGACAACACAGATGGAAAAAAAAAATGGGCTTCAGCTGATCTGCAGGACACTTTGCCTGGGCTCCATTTTATTGGAGACAGAATCTTCATAAGCTTTTCTGTCTGCAATCCCGCCCATGCGGGACGCTGCAGTCCGAAAAACCAGCTACTGCTACCGGGAACCTGGTTAAAGCCTTGAAGGATGAATGGGAAATGACCAGGTTCTGTGAATCAGATATGACTTGCGGAAATTGGAACAACAGGGGTCTCGTAGGAAGAATGGGAAATGACCTGTTTTTGAGGCGATAGATGGTCATGGGGGAATTGGTTATCCGCTGAAACGGGCTGTCTGCAGCTCCAGTTTTTTCCAACCTGCAAGGATTGGTACGGGACTTGGTTCTCCGCTGAAAAGGCTGTCTGCAGCTCCAATTTTTTGCAACCTGCAAGGATTGGTACCTGTTTGTGGCCTTCAGTTAACCCCAAGGCATTGATTTTAAATAGACCTTCCCCCCCCCCCCCCTTCCTCCCCTTTTTGGGGGGCTGAACAATTCATCCTGTGACCTTGGTCTTGGACCCGAGAGATTGGCATTTTGGTAAGACTCTAGGAAAGAGGGTGGCCTGCAGAACTCGTCCCAGCACACGGCAAGATTTAGCTTCTGCTTTACTTCTTTTGCCATGCAAGTTACAACTGATGTCCAGTGGGACAGATCTCCAATTGATGTGCACAGGGCAGTGGTAGCTAAATGGAGACAACTGGGACTGGGATACATGTCCACAGTACCATACAAATTGAAAGGCTGCCTCTCTTGTGGAAGCTTCTGTCCCCACTTACGGAAGCGAAGCATGCGGGCCTGTTGTGGCAGATCATCCCCCATAATGCTATCCGTACAGCAGCAATGTTATACCGTAGACGTAAAAGAAAAAAGGGCTTGCCTTTCTGTGAAGCATGGTTGTGCGGTAGAAGATGAGCAGCGCATCATAAGTGGGTTGTTTACCAAGGCAGCCCCTTGTGAACCAAGAAAGCGACCAAATACGCTTGGCTACTGAACTACCGAGTAGAGGTAAGACTACAATAAGTAAATACATATTTCAAATCTTTTTTTTTTTGATTGACGATCGCGATATGGTGATAGTTGATTCCATAGAAACTCGTCGCCGGCAAGCGTGTAAAAGAAGTATGGGCAGAAGGGAAGGCGGAGAATGTGATACCTGGTCATCGGGGAGATCTGCGGACAGAAAAGGAGGAGGGATGATGTTGGGAAGCGTTCAAGCGTACGTATACCCCTCCCCAAGCCCGAGGCGAATGTTAACGAAACCCTTCGACCGACGGTGCTGTGGGTTCACTCGCAAGACCCCCCCTCCACCATATAACTATATCCTTTTGGATTCGACAAAGAAGATCGGATCGACTAATTCTCTTCGGGCTGGAGTCAAGTGGTTCACGGAACGGAACGGAATGGAACGGTGGGCAGCAGCATGGGTCCTCTCTGGTTGCAATCGACTTTCATGTACGGGAGATATCGGTCTTTGGGCCCTTTTTTCCTCAAGAGCCATCATTATCTGTATTTGGTAGATGCCTGGAAGTTAGGTAGAACCGTAGAACTATTGTTTTTGTTATGTTTCAATCTTTTTGATTTTTTTGGTCGTGGTAGTGTTGGTTCTTCTACGCCTTCATTCTATTTTTCAAAAGGGCCAACCTTTTTCTCGTCCTGGCGGATGTCAGGCTGTAGGTAGAACTACGCGAACTCTATTGCCATTCATTCTGCTTTTCCTTTTGTCTTTGGTGTCGTTTTTAGGTGCACAGTACTTGGTCATTAGTTCTCGTCTTTTCTTGGGTGACATTTTGTTTCCTTTTTACCCCCTCCACAGGGGTGAGGCTCCACCTTGGATGGAAGGTTGGAGGCCCTGCGACCCCTGTATATGTCATTGCCCTGGGCACTGGGCCCAAATAATAAAAGTTAAAAAACCATGGTTACCAACGGGATGTCCGGATCCCGATCCAAATAGCCCGGTGTCGGTGTCCGGGTCCGGTGTCCGGTTCGGACGGTCCGGTTGGACCCCGATTTCAAAAAAATCGATTTTTTTTGGGGGGGGTTCCCAGGCCGTTAACCTGGGCCTGGGGTACCCTGGAAAAATAATGCTGATGTTTTTTTAGAACCGGTACCCCAACCGGACAGGCACTGAAAGGGCCCTCTGTGTGATAATATTGGCACACGAGTTCACTGCTTTGCTCTTATTTGGATGGATGGAATCTTGGTGCATTTCAGCTCTCTGCTTGGTACATGACTATCTGGACTTCTGCGTGATTTTGCAACTTGATTTTCTGGCTATCCCTCTCGCTCTCGCGCATATTCCTTGAGTTTTTGTGACGTGGGAGGAGGGTCTGGACGATGGGAGGGGCGAGCAGGGATGGGAGGGCGATTTGGCACACGAGTTCACTGCTTTGCTCTCATTTGGATGGAATCTTGGTGCATTTGAGCTCTCTGCTTGGTGTGTGTGTGTGTGTGTGTGTGTGTGTGTGTGTTTTTCCCCGGACAACCGGACACCGACACAGCGAACCGGTATGTCCGGGTCCGGATGTCTGGATGTCCGGTTTGATGTCCGGTTATCCGGACGTCTGGTTTGATCCAGACACTGGTCCGGTGTTCATGTCCGGTTGTCCCGTTGTCCGGGTCCAGGGCAACCATGAATAAAACTTTTTTCTGTTTTTTTATTTTTATTTTTTTTAATTGGTAAAGAGTTTCGATGTGATCCTGAGGCAAAAGTTGTTCAGTTTATGCGAACGCAACCCTTCATTTCGGATGCGCTGCGTTAGCGTAGAGCTAGCGCTGCGCTGCGTTGCACCGGTTCTGAAAACTTTTTAAACACCACGGGTGCCTGATGCATCATGAGGAGGGATATGCCCCTGTGCTCGAATATCGTCGTTGCATCCTGCCTGTGGTACCTCCACCTTGCAAGGCTGGCAAGCATGGGTGAGATTTTGGACAAAGCTCTTTTCGCCCCCCTTCCTTATATTGAAATTGCAACCAGGTCATGGCATTTGCCCCTGGTCTTAGATATGGAGCCTTTATCTGCGCTTGTTTTCGTCGGTGCTGGAGAAGTTTTCGATTGATTGGGTTGTTGATGACTTATGCCGTGCGGATCCAAGTGTGCGACAAGGGCCACAATAATCTGCTGTTGGTGAAGGGGACGATGGCCGTTTGATCTTTTACAGCGGTGACAACATGGTCCTGATTGGCGGCTGGGATCATCTTTAACGGGATTTCGACACGTGGAGCATTGAGACTTCGGCTTCCTTTCTGATCGACTTTTTGCCAAGTGTTTATGACTCTCCTGTGGTATGCTTGTGTTTGTCGGAGAGAGAGAGAGAGAGAGAGAGAGAGAGAGAGAGAGAGAGAGAGAGAGAGAGAGAGAGAGAGAGAGAGAGAGAGAGAGAGAGAG